CCTAAGGTTTCTGTATTTGGCATTTTTGTTTTGTGAGTAGTTTTAAATCATGTTGCAAATCGATTTCATTCCAGAAAGCTCAAAATTCCGTTAGGAGTCTTTTTTTGGTTACAGTAACTGCTAGGTTTCATTTCTACCATAAGGTGGCAGCATTCCAACCCAAAAAGAAAAGTTTGGAAAGTGAATAGGGAGGAAGCCGGGCGTAGCTGCAAGGAAGAAGGCCCTTCAGGAGAGTTTCTGAAGAAACAATTTTCTAGGACCCTATCCCTCCTGTTTCACCACCTCTTGCCCATTTCCCCTACCCACACAAAGTGAGGATTGGTGTGTTTGTCTTTTAGTGCTGGTGACGTAAGCTTGACCGCTAGCCCCGGAGGCATAAAAACTCCAGCCTCAGAACAGGTGCAGTATGTAGGATAGTGTCATACAAGGGTCCCTAACTCATTATGGAGACATTGGTAACTTCAGTGGCTGTGGCAATAGTACTGCCACCCCAAGGTTTTAAAAAAAACATTACCCCTCCCTGCACGTGTGCACACATACGAAAACTGGGGGTTGGGATTTGAGTCATTCAAGGTTTGTGTTTTCAAGCACTGCTCTGAGGGAAACTTTTCCTTTAAATGTAAAGCTGTCCATCTCACACAATCATTGACTCCAGCTGGGGCTTAAGGAAAGCATAAATGTGAGATTCATCCTGAAAATTGTGAGAGCTAATACTGAGATAAAGCTTCACACTTTCAGGAGAGATTCCATCTCTTCACATGCAAAGAATAAAGTGCTACCCCCACATCCAAAAATACAGCACTTATCCTGAGCACAGAATGAATTTTCTGAGAATTTACAAGTGATTTTTCATTACTTTGAATTAAAATTCATTATAATGTAAAGGCCTTGGCATGCTGACACTTTAGATTTTTATTCTGAACGATCTGCATGCTATAATCTAAGCTCTTTAAACATCCAGCATAATTAATACACATGGAAAGTTTGCACATATGCTGCATTTCAAGAAATTAGTTTGTAACAATTGTTGCTAATTCTGCCTTACTAAATCTCAAGCACAAGCAGGACAAGATCTTGGGTCATTTTTAACTAGAGTTAAAATTTGACACCACAAATAACTCAAGTTGTCACCCTTCCTCTACAACTGCTACTGGTCTTGTAAAGAGTCAATAGTCTGAACTATACTGAAGTTGTGACGAGGTTCTCATTAGTGAAAGATTTGGCCCATCTTCTTAAAGTTTCCCTGGCTACATTTCATCTTGAATATCAGTGCTTGAGGTAGCACTTTCAGATGAGCAATGGAAAGGCAGGGGGCCGTTAAAGCATAGACACACTGAAACTTGGGACTATCCCACCTCTTCAGGTTCACTTTGGCCATCTTGAACTGCTCTGGGGAGTGAAAAGCAGCTGTAAACACAACCAGTACTATTAGAATGTTTTGTCCTGTTCCAGCTAGACCAATACGTTGAATCTGGCCCATTATGGGAAAATAAAAGTTGATGTTACCTATCATCAAAGAATTAGAAATGTCCTGTGGTAACCTTCTCTTGGGTTTTCTTTTTTGTGTTGTTAAATGAAATATTTAATTAAAAAAAGAAAATTACCAAATAAAAATCAGAGTGGAGATTGAGACTACACATCAGTAACTAATTAGTGGTATAGATCAGTGTTTCTAAACCAATGGTACAAATACCCTTGGGCTACTGGGGGGAAGAGTACCTCAACACAACTGAAATTTGGAGAAAACTGAATTTTTGTTTTAAGTTTTGCAGCATTTTATTATTCTTGTACTTATTACACCCAAAAAATTCATCATCTGCCTGGCTACGATTAATTTGTTTAAACAAATGTGAAAAGAAAAATTTGTGTGTCTGAAAACTATAGGTATCAGTGGTACTTATAATTTATTTTTTTTAAAGGGTACTTTATAAAAAAAAAGTTGAGAAACACTGATCTATATTACACAGATTTTGTAACTATCTCTAATCATTACAGGAAAGCACAAGTTAAGGCTTGATTTAAAAGGTGACTACTTAATACACTCGTCTCTTTTAACTTGTCCTACCTTCCTCTCTCCTATTCTTGCTGGGACCTGTGATTCTTCATATTAAGTTGGCTTCCCAACTAATTGAGATTGGATGGATGGAGCTTAGGGTTATATATTGCCTACAAGAGACTTTTTTTTTTTTTTTTTTGCTTCCACTGTAATGCTAACTGTCTAAAATAATGTGGAATTCCTCCTCTCTCCACTTATTTTTCAAACATATTTTCCACCGCTTACTTCCTAAGCCAGTTCACCTTCTCCCAAACATATTTGTTCATTTCAGCGTCCAACCCTTCATTTTTTCTCTAGAGTCAGTTCCCAGAACAAAAGGAAATAATAAAAAATGTTGCTTTGTTTCCTTGGACATGTCATGAGGACATTTTCAGAAGTTTTACAGCACCTGCCAAGATTCATGCTGTAGCAGTTACTATTTGCCATTACCATTGGCTTACTATTGCTTTTATAAATAACTACTCATGATATTGCACTTTGTTTTTACAGGTTAGGAGAGAACAGAGTTTAGAGATGTACCTAAATATGGAACTTTACCTAATTAGTCTTATTTCCAGAGTTTTGGTTGAGGTGTGTATTTTGTTTCATATTTTCTCTGTGGGAGTTGGAATGCTATTAATTTTGTAAGTTTGAGCAGACCAAATAGAACATAGTTAGAAGCTAATGAAAATGGTATTAAATACATTCGTGGCCATTGAACTGCACAGAGGATATAGGAAGTTTTTAGTATGCATTTCTAGGCTCTGCTATCATTAAACACAATATAGCTCCCTTTCGGAAAAGGGATGCTAATGTAGCACTTTGGAATAGGCAAATCCGTGGGGGATTTAAATATCCCCCGCGGTATTTGCATTAACATGGCTGCCGCTTTTTTCCGGCTTGGAGATAAGCCGGAGAAAAGCGCCAGTCTAGACGTGATTCTCCGAAAAATAAAGCCTTTTATCACGTCTAGACTGGCGCTTTTCTCCGGCTTATCTCCAAGCCGGAAAAAAGCGGCAGCCATGTTAATGCAAATACCGCGGGGGATATTTAAATCCCCCACGGATTTGCCTATTCCAAAGTGCTACATTAGCATCCCTTTTCCGAAAGGGAGCTATATTGTGTTTAATGATAGCAGAGCCAGGAGCAAGGTAATACAACACATGCTTAAGAACACCAGAGGGAGTATCAATGTCAAAAGTAAAGAAAGAATAAGGGTATGTCTACACTGCAGTTTTTTTGGAAAAATGCTTTTTTTCCAAAAAAAATTCACTTACGTCCACACTGCAATCGTGTTCTTTCGGGGGAAAAAAATCGAAAGAACAGAGGCGGTTTTCTGACATTGGTAAACCTCTTTCTACCAGGAAGAAGCCTTTTCCCGAAAGAGCTCTTTCCAGATACACTATACTTTCACAGGTATAAATCTCTTTGATTTAAATCAGTGATCAGATTACTTTCACATCCGGATTCTTCTCTGCCCAGGGAAACATGGACACGAAGTCATCAATGGTGTCCACAATGGCATCAGCCAGAGCTTGTTCCAGAGGAGTCTGACCGGCCAGACCTGTGGGATTCAAATTAAAAAGGGTGAGTAAAGAGACGCTATCTGCCTCAGCAAGTTATTCCTAAAAGTAAGGTATGTGTGCTCAGGCCAATACTGCAGAGCTTTTATTAATATCCTGAGCTGCTGCTGAGCCTTCACATCCAGCAGCTACTTCAGATCCATTGCTCTATAACAAAACTCTTCATCTTCCCTTCTCCTGCCTCTCTGCTCCATCTTCACTCGCTGACAAGTCTGTCCTTCCTATCTCAGCCCCATGGAATCTTTGAGTCTTGCTTCTCTTCCTATTATCCCCAGACTCTCTCAAAGCCTCAGGATGCCTTTTTTTCCACTCCCATCAGACTTTTTCCACTTCTTTTCCCATCCAACTGCAAGTAATCTCATTTTCTCCTGGCTTTTGCCTCCTCCCAAAGTGCCTCAGTTGAAGTTCATTTCCTTTCCGTTTTGATACCACCCCATCCTTGAAATCCTCTTCCTATGTCTTAATGCATTATAGACAAGCTCCTTGGCTTTCACCTTGTCTCCTACTGCCCCACTCTTTTTCTCTCCCATTATTTTCCTGCCACCTGTGGTCTTCCCAACCTTTTTGCCATCTTCTTCTTCTTTTCTTCCCTTTGTCGTTTTGTCCTTCCTCAGTTTCATGCCCTCACTCAGGCTTCTCATCCTCATCTCATCTCATTCTAATTTCCCTTGAAAGCTTCTTTTTGAGCAACCTCTTTCCCCTCCCCCAATATCTCACGTCCTCCTTCTGAATTATTCTCTTGCCTTATTCAGATTTCAAGCTCCTCAGAGCACAGAACATGCCTCTTTCTTTGAGTAAAGCCATGTAAACTGTAGAAGCTGCAGAAACCATTTTATGTTTAGCTAGAAGCCATCTTTTGTAGTAGAAACCATTTCAGCTTTTTTCCTTTGCACGTAGGCAAGAGCGAACTTTCTATCACCCCGTGTGCCAGGCCAAGACAGATGTGCTATTGGAATGTGTTAATTGGGCTGGTTCAGAGAGGAGAGGTACTCCCTCGTACCTGGCCGCCATCTTGTTGATAAGGCTTTGTTTTTCCTAATTTAATTGATTTCTGTAATTGGATGCCCTGACGTCAGACTGTTTGGTTAAGGGTATAAAGATACTAGGATTGATTGTATTAGCCAGCCTCACTCGGCCCGGTTTTGCTTGGACCATGTTTAGCTCACTTTGTTTTTATTGGCCAATAAAACTGTCTGTTTAGCCGTGTAAACTGAGTGAAGTCTTTGCTTTGACAATTTTGAGGTTCCACCGAGATTCCTAATGCGCCACTTGCCCGTATGGACGGACCGGCACTCCACTTCCAAACCTCTCAGAGCGCTCAATAGAAGGTAAGGGGATACCTGTTACGAAATCTCCTGGTGAGGGCTTAGGATTTGGAGTGACGGCCGGCCATTGGGGTAAGGGGAGCTACGGAATCCAATTTTGTGGAGCGGCTAACATTTTGTCTGTCTGTGTCTGTCTTTGTCTTATGTGCCACAGTTCCAAAAGGGCACACCGGTGTCTCTAGTGAGGCAGCCATGCGCTGGACCCTCTGTGTTTGGACGCTAAAAGCTGGTGTGGTGCCATTACTCTCTCTCGGCACACGGAACTGTGGGAAAGCTTTGTTGACTCTCTTTCTGTTGTTTGTGAATGTAGTACTGACCTCTGAGGCTAACCCCAGGCCATAGTATTTCCCCATTCCGTCAGGCTGTCTCCAGGCGCCAGGACATGGTGTTCTGTTGGGTTGGGGTGGGTGCCGGAAACCCCTGTGAGCGGGTGGATTTTGGTCCAGCGTCTCACAAGAAAAAGGGGGTGGGGATCAGTGCGAATTCTTGATTCGGTGACTCGCAGAACGAGCAGGCGGATCCTGATTTGGTGACTCGCAGAGCGAGCAGGCGGATTCTGATTTGGTGACTTGCAGAAGACAATAGTGTAAGCAGGCGGACTTTGGTTCGGTGTCTTACAGAATCTTTTAAGCACATGCAGAAAATGGGGGTAGGTCAGTCTACAGGAATTCCAGTGCCTTCTAAGGACAGTCCGGCTTTCTTTATGTATACTCACTATGGGAAAAATACTTTCAAGTTTTTAAATAAGTGGAATTTGTATACCCAAAATGACTCTAAATTACAATTCCCATTGAAAGGGACTTTTGATGTAACTAAAACTTTACATTTAAGGGAGGCTCTTGAGGGTCGTGGAGCGAAAACTCCCGATCTGCAATGGTCTGCCTATCTACCATGGTATGAGGAAACCTTTAAAAGGCAGAAAGAATCTCAATTAAGAAGCTTCAAAGATACTCAGGAAAAACTGCAAACACAGATTAAACTGCTGAAAGAGGCTGGCACTCAATCGAAAGCAGTGATAACTAAGCCTAGTGCACCACCTATTGGGCAATTGTATCCTTGTCTCCCAAACCCTGATTCACAGGATGACATGAATGATGTCCTGTGCCCCATGTGGAATCCCCTGCCATCCCCAACCCCATTTTCAGCTCCCGACTCCAAGCAGCTTCAGGAATCCAAGTTGTGACTGATAGAGAGAAACAGGGTACAGGGGTACTCCCCATTACATATCAGATTTCTGAGGGAAGCACTGTTCTCCTCCAGCCAGCTACTCCTAAAGGACAACGATCAGTGACACATATTGAAGCGGGGAATAATAGCCCGATTGCTACTTATCCTTTACGGGAAGTCCCAAACCCTAAAGGAGGGCGTATGCAGGTTTACCAACCCTGGACCAAAACCGAATTACACGCCATGGCCAAAGATTTTCCTTCAGTAGAAGAGGACCGGGTGAAATTTAAAGCGGAACAGGAACTAATAATACGGTCTTATGGTCCTAACTGGCAAGACCTTGATCTGCTTTTGAGGGTGATTCTGCCTGATGATAAGCGTAAAAAGATTTTAGAGAAGGCAGGCTGGCCACCCGGGCCCATTTCAGGAGACCCGGACCTAGAAGATACTGTTAGGGCTGTCACCCGAGCTAGGAATGGACTGCTAGATAGTATTCTTCAGGTCTTTCCCAAACGTCTGAATTGGGTTAAAATTAACACCTGCAAGCAGGAAGAAAATGAGTCACCAGGTGCTTATTTGGAAAGGCTTACTGAAGTGTTTGAAAGGCACTCTGGCATTGAAAACCCAACTGACACTGCTAAGCAAGCGTTAGGTGCTGCTTTTGTTACTGGACTGGATCCGGCTATCCAGACCCAGTTAAAACACATAACCATCGGCTGGGAAACTAAATCCTGAGAAGAACTTTTGACAGTGGCAAACAACTGCAGACAGTGCAGAAAGGCTAAGCAGGACAAAGAACCTAAGCTTATGGTTCTGCAATCACTGCCTACTAAAACAGGCAGGGGTCGGGGGCGTCCCATAGAACGACAGTCAAGGGGCTCACCCTGGTCTGAAAATTCTGCCGGCCGTGGTAACCCCAGGACAGTGACAAATGCAATTATTTGTCACTATTGCAAACAGCCCGGACACTGGAAGAGTCAGTGCCCGAACTGCCCTGGGCTGCCAGAGCCTGTAGCTTTCAGACCACCGCAGGGTCAGTTTACGTTAGCGACGGCTGAGAGTCAATAGGGGTGCCCAGAGGAGGATTGCAACTTCACCTTTTTATCTCCGCTTATTCCCCTAAATTCTGATGGCACTCTCACTTGCCAGGTTGCTGGACAAAACACCCAGGTTTTAGTGGACACAGGTGCTAGCAGGTCCACCCTCCAAGGATCTTCTTTTTCTATTCCCATTTCTAACCAGGTTGTTAATGCAGTTGGTATTTCTAATCAAGTTGTACCTCACCCTGTTTCTAAACCTGTCCCTCTTGTACTAGGACCCATTTCAGAGCATCATTCTTTTCTTCTAAGTCCTACCTCCCCTGTGATTTTGTTAGGGAGGGATTTATTGTGCAGATTGCGCCGCACTATTTTCTGTACTCCTGATGGGGTTTATCTTGAAGTGCCTGCACAGACCCGACAGGAGGTGGAGGACCTGCTGCAGGGTCCTGACACTGAACTATTTCCCTTAATTCCTGATTCGGATGCTGATCTTTTGTCCCAGGTCCCCAACTGTTTGTGGGCCACCACCCCAAACGAAGTGGGCAGGATATCAGT